GATCCAGCAATGTGCATTCCAAAAGAAAAAATCACAAATATGAACAAATTTCATTGTGTAGGATATTACATCTGAAATCACAAGTTTCAAATTATTTGTTTTAACCAAGAATTGTAAGAACTTGAAACATGTTGTTAGTTTTTTAAACCGCATATCCTCATTTACCTTCTTTGACAAGGATGAATCCATTTGAAAACATGGATTTTTCTTGATTATTCTTCAATACTACCCTTGAAATATATAAGTATGTAGGATATTACAGAGTAAATTGACACGCATTTGTTTGCTCCTTATCATGAACAAAAAAATGCAGTACCATCTTGCAATATTTAAAAACAGAAAGTTCATCCTGTATGTAAACAAGAAAAAATACATCGATGGTTGGTTCATAATGAAAAATGACAAATAACAATACATCTTTTGAAGTAGGGGTATACAGGGACACAGTGGAAAATCAGAAATTTAGGTCATATCCCAAAGATAGCTTCACCAATATGTAACAGAACATCAAAATTATCATTTACACGTTTGCTGATAGGTTTATTGAAAATAATCAACCAGAAGTTTCCTTCAATTGTGGCACCATTCTTAGTGAATACTGATGAACATACGATTATCGAATGTTGACCAAGTTACTTGGCTTGACCGTATGGTCAAATTGTCTATTTTGCTCAGACCAGGGCAGCAAATTCTGGGATTTAGTTTAGACTGCTAAGAGTTTCAAGCCAAATACCCATGCTGTGTCTCGGAATGTGTTGAAGACTTGCACTGCCAGGGAGTAAATGATTAAAAGCAGAACAAAGTTTGCCTTTCCGCCGGTGCATTGGTTTATTGTACTGAGTCCCTCGATTTAATAGAGGCGTTTGGGTCCCCAGCTGTTAGAAGCGCCCTGTATAACAGAGTTATGTACCAACAGGAAGGCATTTTTGTTTTGCTTTGAATGGAACAAGTTTGAAGAAAAACGGTACATTATGAGATTGACAATCCTTGATTTTTAAACATCTGGTAGGTCTAAAATTCAAATTAACAGTTTTTCGTGTGTAGTTGGACCCCCATGTTTTTATTATTCCAGTATTGTTCTTCCTTCTCTCTAATACGCGTTGACTCTTTGGAGTCATTGTATTTACTATGTGACCAGATTCCGTAAGTTACTCGGGGTCTTGGTTTCACTCAACACTTTTTATATGATGTTATATCCTAGTACTATTAATGTCATTTATACATAGAACTTACAATGTATGATGTAAATAAAATAAACTGAGCAATTAACGTTTGTACAGCTGAAGTGTATGGTCAACGTAAGTTTGTCGAAGGGCCACGTTGCATCTGCTTCTGTTTCTCGAAAAAACTACGCCCTCCGTAGGGAGACCGTACGGCGACAGTGATTCAGAATTCAAAAGGCAACACGGCGACCATGGTTTTTATATCAACGAAATTGGCCGTGTGGTTGCCGTAGGAAATGTGACTGCAAAAGTATCTGTCCGCAGAAATTCTACGGCGAGCGTAGAAATGTTACTGACCGCAGAAATGATAGACCGCACGGCGGCCATAGCAAATGTGACTGGGGTGTTACGAGGTACAAATGTCTGTTCAAATTTTTTCTTGCTAACTGACTGCGAGCGCCGTGCGATACCCTTACCTAATGTGACCCCACTCATGGCGAAATCAAGACGTCGGAGAAAAATCACCGGCGGCCGGTCGATTTAGAAATCGGCAGATTCCTTCTCATCGGCCGGCGCCCTGCGATAATATGACCTAGGCACTATAATGAATGACAAATTGTAGGTTTGCCGCAAGTTATATGACCGAATATTAATCCATCCTAGTTCTTGCAAAATTACAAGTTAAGCAAACAATTGTAAAAATGATATGTTTCTTCAGTTTCAAAAAGTTATAGGTCTATAGCGTCAGTATTATTTTTCAAGAAACCTCTTCCATTGAAATAACAGAGGAAGGCCACTGTTCACATATTAAAATCCAACACTTAGCGTGCAAAAGTTAAACAATGAAAATGTCTATATAAAACTATTTTTGGTTAATATTTTACTGAATATACATGTATATCCTAAAATCTGATTTGCCTTGAGCCTACCATTGAATTGGTTTACAAGGAAAGGACGATTTTCAAAAATTCATCGAATTTGCCTTTGATTTTATATTGTAATTGAGGAAAATATAGAAAATTTGGAGGTATGGGATGAAAGTCAAATTGTATACCCACCTTAGGGTGTTTCATTTTTCAAGAATATTCTCAGATTACAACGACCCTTTAACACGGGGTTACAAATGGTGCTGGTAGTTCACTGATTTTTTTTCAACAAAATCGGATGACGTTAAAACTGGTCCGACGGCCATTCTTTCCGTCCCATTGAATTACATTGTGGGCAACGCCCACTTTTCAATGGAAAACAATGTTTCGCACGTCTTTGCTGCTCATTTACCGGAAATGGTTAGAACTAATATTTCTGACATAAGCCTTTGAGAATACATCAAAACACTTTCAATTAATGTAAACTAGACCGTTCTAGCACTTTTTATCGCGAACAAATGAAAAATGCATATATCGGGCATATAAATTCATGAAGTGTTTTTTCTTTTCTGTCAACGATTTGAATATTTTAGAAAATTTTTATCATAAAATAACAAAGTATTCCCTTGCAAATCTAGTAAAACATGTTTTAAGAATAAAAGTGGCTGAAATCAATTTTTTATTTTTGACCCCCTCCCCCAGTAGACTACGGGTTAATAGACTGACAATATCTCGGCGACAAAAAGTGCTACAACAATCTAGTTAGCATCAATTTTAAGTGTTTTGATGTATATCCAAATTCTTATAACAGGAAAACATTTTCCAATCATTTCCGGCAAATGATAAGCAAAGAAGTGCGAAATAATGTTTTCCATTGAAAAGTGGGCGTCGCCCCAATGTAATCCAATAGGACGGAAAGAATGGCAGACGGACCAGTTTTAACGTTATCCGATTTTGTTGAAAAAAAATCGTTGAACTTCTGGCACCATTTGTAACCCCATGTTAAAGGGCCGTTATGATCTGAGAACATTCTTGAAAAATGAAACACCCTAACCCACCTTTATTTGAGATATTTCATTGCAGGTTAAGTAAACAAAAAGGCAAACATAAAGACTGGCTTAAAACACGCAGTCCAATGGAGGAGCTAGGGTTGTAAAACCTTTGGAGGGATGTATATTTACATATTTTTTTATTTATAAAAGGACCTTTGAACTGTAATTCTCATTGTTACTTCAAGTCATCGAATTGTGACATTAAAAAATGAAACTTGTACATTTTAGAGTATGATTTGATAGCGCAGTTTTTGAGAGCTTTTACGCCAAACATAGAACCTCGATGTTCAAGTTTCAGCATTTAAAAGGCTTCCTAGTCAACTCGTACCCAAGACAACTCGTACCCAAGACAACTTGTACCCAAGACAACTCGTACCCAAGTCAACTGGTACCCAAGACAACTCGTACCCACGTTTATTTTCTGTATTATGGGTGCATATAAGAAAACAAATTGAGTCTGTGTCAAAATGTTTAATGTTATAATGTGCCTCAACATTTTTTCTCAATTGATTAAGCAAAGCATTTTGTTTTAACTTGGATTACCTTTGAAGTGCTTTGAAGGGCTTGTTCTCAACTTTTTTACAACAGTAACTTTTCAACAAATGAATCAAGCAATTAATTTAGCTTTAAGTGCATTCAGAGAAAATTAATAAGGGAACTTTAATCTGTTAATTTCTTTTCCATTTTAAACTTAATTGGATTATATTTGAACAACAGTTTTACAGGGTTGAGTTGACTTGGGGTTGAGATTTACTGGGGTTGAGTTGACTTGGGGTTGAGTTGACTTGGGGTTGAGTTTTACTGGGTTGAGTTGACTTTGGGTTGAGATGACCAGGAAGCTTTGAACACATGCATGCAAAGTGTATTATATCATGTATGAATAAGTATCAAAATAATATTTGATATTCATATTATTTAGAATATTTTTTATTGCTTAATTTTATGAAGGTGACTTCTTAGAATTATCATTCTTTAATCTGATAATATGAAATCCTAAATAGATTATCTGTTTAATAAGAAATAGGCGCAAGTTTTGATAATCTTATATTTTTGATAATACCATATTTCAAGATGAATTAGATCTGATACTTGTTCGAAACACTCATTAACATACAAAAATACCACTAATATTGTGAACAATGATTATGAATATGTGGAATAAACATAAATCTCTTCCCCCGAACATCTAAATCTGTGACCAATATATTTGGTCACAAATTTCAATCGATTTCTTCCAAAAACTTTTCTACATACTTCAAACTATTCTGAACTGTATGTAACCATTATAATATGTATATCTATACCCATTCCCAGCCCAACACTTGATTCAAAACAAAACATATACTTTGGTACAAGTTGTCTTAGGTACGAGTTGTCTTGGGTACGAGATGTCTTGGGTACGATTGACTTGGGTACGAGTTGTCTTGGGTACGAGTTGACCAGTTACCATTTAAAAGTATTGAAGCGCTTAAACACAAGAGGAATATTTATACATAACACACAATCAATTAGCTAGACTGTCCGGTCCTAAGAGCCCAGAGCGGGTTATTACCTCTGCTGAAAGCTCAGACATAGACAGTGATCGTAGATGAAAACGCAATGAGCTCACGTGTCTTAAACCGACGACCTGAGCATTGTTGAACTCTGAGTACCATTTACTAGGTGTATAATACTGTATAAAATCATTATATTTTAACAAATGTTGTTATCATCCATTTGACGGTCATCGTTAACACTCCGTTATCTAAAATGAATGCATGTTCACTTTGCAATGTCATGTATCATTGTGTATTCGTGATAACGAAAGCCCTGAGAGTATGTATCAGTCATATGAGGCATTATGACATTCCAAGCCTCGAGCTGAGACGATTTTCAAAATAATTGACAACAAATGCTACCTGATGAATCGGAGATGGCTCTAGAACAAAATGGAAATTATAATAAGCCATCTAGTCGTCAATATAGACATCCGATCGATGAAACACAGGATGAAAATGGATATCTAAAGCCAGAACATTTACGGTACGAAACAATAAATGACATTCATATATCTAAACAATCAAATTATGACGAGGTATTAGTTTTACCTCCGCCAATTCCAAGAACGCGACCATGTGAACTTTCAAATAACCACGACGAAACTAGTGAACATCGAGCTTTTCTCGAGTCGAAGAGTCCAAACTCTCATCAGCTGCAAGTGAACAAGAAAAACAAAAATGGGCGACACGGTGGCTGTTGGAAGAATTACCAGATGAAATTGTCAACCGGGCGAAGAGTGACCGCCATTATAGTATGTTGTGTCGTCATAGCGTGTTGTGTATTGACGGCCTTCTACCTCCTATTTATCAATCGGAAAGGTATTTTTGTTGATTAACGTAGATATCAATATAAGGGCTTATAAGCTCACGTTGTTTAGTGTAGTCTAGAGAATCAAATATGGATATGGATAAAACGTGAGATTATGTAATTTTTATTCAACATTTCGAAAGTTCAAAAGTTAGTATAAAGTAGGCTTAGTATAAACAAAAAGTTAGTATTTAAGTTAAAGCTAGTATAAACAAGCCGTTGTAAATTGATGCAGTTTTGTTGTGGCGCATTTTACTTTCAGAACCGCATAACAACTCACGTGCAACAGATGTAAAAGACACAAACATTCAAATGATAACTATGGTAGCCGAACTCGAGGCGTTTAGTGACATAACCTACAGTGGAAGAGAAAGCGTTGTGAGTGAAGCAACAGCAATACAATCACTTTATTTGTCTAATGAACATTTAAAAACTGTTACACCAACAGTCTATATCACTGAGGAAACAGAAATGTATGTTTCACACGTTTGTCGGACATCCCCTAATTTTTATAGATCAATATGCAATCCTTAGAAGACAGACTAAATATTAAGTAATAATCAAAAATATATATGTGTAGACTATCTACAACACCTTCAAACTGCAGTAATTATACGTATATCATATTGAATTCAAAGAATTGCATTTCAAAAATATGTTGTACTACACGGTTTATTCAATGTTGGGAATGAAAATATAAATATACGTTGGTATTGATATCCAACTCTATATACGCGGTTTCTGGTGATTTTATATTTGTTCAATTAGTCCTAAATTGTACGTTATGCATAATAGACCGCGTTGTCCGTGTAAATCGTAATATGAGATTGTGGTCACTTGAAAATGGCAGCTAGTGTTAGTGAATTCGTGACAGCTTTTTTGTCCAGATTTATTTATACAAACATTATTAGAGAATCCAAGAACCGCAAAACAGTACATACAGTCATGGGCTTTCAGGAGAATGGTATGCAACATCCTAAATCATATGGTTAACCCTAAAGTATTTTTATAACACTAATGGATGGGGGGGGGGGGGGGGTCAGATGACACCCACTGGAAGCGTTTCCAAAGTTGAAGAGGTACAGTAAAAACTAAGTAATCATATTTTGGTCATTCAAAACTCTCAAAGAAGAAGGTCATTAAAATCTTAAAACGTAGGTCAAATGAGGTCAAGAGGAGGTCAAAGAAACACAGGGGGATACTTTTGGTGTACTTTTTATTTTTCAATAAAAAAAAACATATGATGTTTTGTTAGCCAGAAAAGGGTAATAAATGTGATATATAGTACCCCACACAAGTTTTTGATAATAACTTTGACCCGTGATTTGAACTATCTTCCCTATACTATTTGTTATTAAACTTAGCATACATAAACTATTTCCGACATTGGAAATATTTTGTTTTCATTTTACTTCAATACATACACAAGCAACTGAACCAAGGGGCTCATTAATACTTTTAAACATTTGACGTCATAAAACCAAAATTAAGATTTGGATTTTAAAGATTTCGTTTACTTACTATATCACTTATTTGAACAATAACACTCCTTCAAAGACGATTTATGTGAAATATTTAAAATAAAACAATCTGAGATGACCGAATATTTTTTCTCAAAACTAGCTATTGTATTGCAGTTTACTCTTAGCAATTGGTTGTTATGTACTTCAAAGGAGGGCGAGTTGTTTGTAGAATGAATCGGGGGATTTTTTTCATGAATTTCGCTTATGTTTTTCATCCAAAAAACATCAATACACTTTAAAACATTTTGTTTACTTTAAGATTACACCATGTAATCCAAAAATATATTTCTCATTTTCAAAGATACTCCATGGATAAACACCCAGGTATTTTTATTTTTCAATCTTCAGAGGGCTGGGAATCAATGATGCTCAACGCTTTTGAATACGATAAATGCTGTTTTAAATAGGTTTTACGTATGCCAATAATTTCTCAAATTATGTAAGCTGAATGCATTCTTTAATCCCTAGAATGCCTATCATAATAACATTCTTTTGTCTTGGCCACTTAATATGTTTTGTTGCTGTCTGATCATCAAATCAAATTGTTGTTATTTAAAGATGTCAGTCAAATCTGGTGAAACAGCACAACATTTACCTAAATAGCACGAGTACATATTATGTAACTCATTCATAATATTTCGTGCATCAGGTATTAGGGCTTAGGGGATTAACTTTTACACATAAACTGAACTGACAGATGTGTACGCGTACATGTACAACTTCCAGGATTGTAAGAATTCAAACTTGTTGATAGCCATATTTTCCTGAATGTGACATCGAGATATTATGGCATTTATGAGTGGTAAAACATGAAAAAAAGCATTTTCATTTAAAATTAGCATATGATTTGAATTGATGCGAAGAAATGTATTAGTTAACTGTATCCGTTTTACATCCATTGCAGTTGGCTACATTATAAGACAAGGCATTCACATGCAAAATGTCAACACCTGCCATTTGTTACAGACACCAACTGCCAAACACCAACTTCCAAATGATAAACACCAACCACTGAACAACGTCCACAAAAAAATTTGAGACCATAACAATATGTCACCACTTGTGGTGGTGACATAAAAATGATCATGGAAAATTGTATTTTTTTTAAAAAGTAGGAACTTCTGAGGTTATTAGAAAATTGGAAGACAAGGAAGGATTCTGGGAAGGATATTAGGGTTATAAATTGCAATGAAACTAAAACAAAACATTCTTTTTCTCAAATATCACAGTGTATATTCAAATCACAAATACGAGATCATACAATTACAATAAGGGTCTAGTGCACTTTCCATTATGATATCCCCATGAACAAAATGAATCATTTTTAGGTGTAACATAAAGAATACAATGTCACATAATACTGTGGAAAATATTTGAGCGTTTGGACCCACATGGGCTGAGGTTGAGGTCATTTAGTTCAGCAAGGGTGTATTGACTTGCCATTGAATGGGCTCCATTGACTTAACATGTGGATATCATCAATTCCAATAGAGGCCATTGGTTTCTATTGATTTTCACAAAAATACCTAAAATACACTATGACCTGAATCGATTGCAAATTAAATAATTTCACAGTATTATACAAATGGTATATCACATCAGATGTGCAAATATAAAGTTTGCAATCGATTCAGGTCATACTTCAAATTAAAAGATTATACATTTTTTCCATCATTTTTTCCTACAAAATGGCTATAGAAAAATGCTTCAAAAGCAACTTTTATACTAATGAAATCCCATACAACTTTCTAAATCCAAAGATTATACTGTTATGTTTCATTAATTAATAACATATTTGGATAATATGTTGGGATGTGTAGGATGCAAATGGATTTTGACAGACACAAAAAGACTTCTTCGTTTGGCATCTCTACCCCTGTACACTTTATGATTGAATATTGGCCCTAATAAGTGGCCCATTCATCAATACAGTGCTGAATATAGGTCAACAAGATACTAGTGTGCATATAAATGTAATAATACCTATAGCTAGGTCTGAATATTAAACTCCAGCCAAATAGAGCCACCACAATATTTCAACCTTTGAAACCCTTGCAAAAAGATTTTCTTGCAATAAAAATGTGAAAATAGCTTAGGGTACTTGTAAGCCAATCTGATTTTAAGATAGACATGTCTCGATATTTTTCAATAATTTTCATGATTATAAATACCGATAATCAATGAAAGGGACAATATTTTCACATTTGTAATTGTATGTGTATGCATGGTCCATGTGTATGTTACCATAATTCTTTATATCCACTTAAAATGTCAAAAATATTGCCCAATTTATAATTATCAGATAATTTATTCACAGTGATCTCCCCATGTCACTTTTACCCCTACTTGAAACCAAAGGCCCCCCAGTTGGCACCCAGTTGGAATCTGCACTTCAACTTCTGATTTGAAAAATGAGTGAAGTAAGCACCTACACTGAGATATTGTGAGCGTAGCGAGTGCTGATTTCTCCAGGCTTGAAATCTTGCACCCAGTTGAAATTTTTTTTTGGGGAGAACACTGATTCATCACCAAAATTAGTAAAAATTATCAACATGCAGAACTACCTTAAAGAGTTTAATCTCTCACTCAATCACAATCATGTCAACCAAAACTGTACTTGTGTTACATAATATAGGATTATACAGCTTACCATACGTGTGCAATCTATAAAGCATACACACTGACATCTTTACAGAATCATATATAATTTTTGAATATAAACTAACTCAACCCAATAAGGCGAGTACTAAAGAATTTACTTACTTGCCATCTAAAAATCTGCTTTGAACTACCATTGGATTACCATTGGATTCCTCCAAGAGAATATTCTAGGGATTATGGAATGCATTCAGCTTACATAATTTGAGAAATTATTGGCATACGTAAAACCTATTTAAAACAGCATTTATCATATTCAAAAGCGTTGAGCATCAATGATTCCCAGCCCTCTGAAGTTTTAAAAATAAAAATACCTGGGTGTTAATCCATGGATTATCTTTGAAAACGAGAAATATATTTTTGGATTACATGGTGTAATCTTAAAGTAAACAAAATGTTTTAAAGTGTATTGATGTTTTTTGGATGAAAAACATAAACGAAATTCATGAAAAAAATCCCCCGATTCATTCTACAAACAACTCGCCCTCCTTTATTCTGTAATATATACAAATGAAAGGTGTACATGCACGTAACCGTCTGCTAAATATCTAATGCACAACTAATACAATACGTTGCCGTCCATAGAATTCATACGAAGTCGTCTAACGGAATTGCGTTTGAGACCTTATTATTTACAATATACACCACGTTCCTGTTCTGGATTTGTCCTTTTATGGCTTGTTCATACATAGTTTACTTACAGTTAATAGTTTGAGTGGCTTTGAGGCACATACATGTAGAACTGAG